TCATTGTAACCTAGTTTTTGTTGCAATTATACCACCTTTTTGAGAATCAGTAAGCGCTTTGTCGAAACTCATTTATGAAAAAATAGGGGTTTTTTGTTAAGCAAATGATGATACAAAATTTAGTTTTTTATTATGCATACATATAAAATTTTTTCAATATCATAAATATAAAAGTGTGCAATACTTTTGTCCCCCCTGTATTTTACAACATTTTCTGCATCGCCATTATCTTCAAATTCTTCTAGGTTAATAAAACATTCTAAATGAATTTTTTGAGCGTCGCTTTCCAAAGACGTTTTAATCGTTTCTTTCAAATTTGATCCGATTGTTCGCGACAATGAACACAAGTATTTCTTAGCTTTCCATTCGCTGTCTGAAAATGGGAAATTTCTTTTGTGGTTTAACAGCGGATGCAAGTTTTCTTTGCTTGTTCCATTATCAGATTATACTGTAGATTAATTTCAATTTTTGGTTCTCGTTTAGATTATTGCTGTCTCACTCGGCAAATTATTATTCCTTTTATAACTTTCGTGGTAGTTCTTGACTATGCATATTTCTTTCACGCACGTACAATAATCACTAGTGTCTGGATAATTATAACAACAATTGCACAAAGTAAGGATGATACAACAATTGGAACATCAATCTTAAAAGAAACGAACGCGACTGCTTTATTAATAATACGTTCTTGAATAGTAAAGCTTGATTGGAAGTGATAAATCAGGGCCAATATGCCATGGAACGTTATCATCATCTATGACGACTGTGTGGACATTTAGAAAACCCATCTCATCACTTACCATTTTACCACGTAAGAATGTAATTAAGGCCGTGCACGTGAAGAAATTGTTGTTGTTGGTTACAGTGCAAACGGTGGGCTGACAGACTTCTAATTGCCGCTGCTCAGGAGGAACGAAGCAAGTTAGCGTAAATAAATAATAAAAACCATTTGTAGGTTGTATACGGATAGAATGACTTACCTCATTAGCAATATTTGCCGTAGCATGTTTTGCTGCTGCTGATGAGAATTTCATCGCAGTTTCAAGTGATGTCTTGATGAACAAATGTTCATAATTCATGCGTGATCCAAATACAGTGACTTGGACTTGCTTGATGGACCTTTGAGCTATTTAGTAAGTTGGAACAATAAGATTAAGCGTCATTTGTTGTGACCAGCTTTAATTAAGTACGGTATATCAATTCACCCAAAACTTACTGGGATATTGTCCAGGATGTATTATGCCATCTATTCGTAAGATCAATTTTTCGTTACATGAGACTCTTTTTGGCTCATACATAGAGAAGTTGTTAATGCTAGTCTTCCACTCGGGGGCAGTAGTCCACTAATACCAGAACAAAAGATTTGGTTACAATTATATTAATATGCACATTTAAATGAACAGTAGACAACAAAAACTGACCTGTATATGGGTATGGTTATAATTTGAGAAAAAGAAAGGCGGTAACGTTAATGGGATTTGTATTATGTCCCGGATAGCTTCTCTGACTGGTGCGATCACGTCCTAGAGACAATATGGAATGAGAATGTTACATTCAAACTGTTTACTAAACGCGTCTTAAACTCTATTGATCAAAGAGAAGTATCAGATCGGACGCTTACAGCCGTGTTGCCTATCCTAACCCAGTTCATGACCATCTGAATAATTTGTATACAACTTGTTACTAGTCGCGAATGAAACCCCCCCGATTTTCCTTTCTGTAACTCGATTTTGTATTTCATATTATTATTAGGGTCAGCAGTTGCATAGCGTATCAACGGTAAAAGTAAGGGATCCAATCCATTAATAGTGTCTCTACAAAGACGTTTGTTATGAGTAGTGAACATCTGTTAACATTATTGAGGTATTTGTCTTACCTTTCTCCCCGGTGAACAAAAACTGTCTTGATAACATGAGATAGTACTAAACAGCATATTTGAAATGTTATAATGTTAAGGATAACGTTGGTTACCCAAACGAAGGTCGAAAATTGCAATTTCATCTGTATGCTATCTTAGAGGATATGACTCTAACACTGATACGCTTTCTTCCTCAATGTCAAGGAAAGAATGGGCACAAAAGTTGAATCGACACGCCAAGTCAGACAAGCAGCCATCAATAGACATAAACTAAAGCAATGTTCGCAATCAACAGAATGAAATGAGTATCTCATCAACACGACGTATTATCGAACAAACAGATAACCAACGTACCATTTGAGTTCTACTCGGTTGTGACCAGACTGGAAATGAGGGATGGTTTAAAAGCAATAGAGTTCTTTGTATAATTTGAACGAATTCCGACCGTAGTTGGATAAACCATTCCTGAAATCGCCTATTGTGAAAGGTTTTCGCACTTGCAGCCATCGCCTAGCAGAAAAGGATTGGATAAAAAAATAGCAAATGTCAAAAAAGAAAGATAATGATGCTTGCATCTGGCAACGTTCGAAACTCATTTGATGATATCATACACCCAGTTTGTAGTAAACACCAGTATACAAGTTGACTGCATGAGACAAACAGCCCAGATTCAATGTCTCTCCATTAATGGTAACTAGTATATTTGTCTCTGCCTCTGCTACGCTCATTAGAGCCTCCAACCAGAACCGAGAACGTTCTGATTCAACCTAAAATAAACACCCATCAGTTATAAAAGAAGACATCATAGCCAACAGCAGGTTTCTCCTACTTCATACCTGAGAATAGAGAGATTTCATCACTATCTTCATAATTTCGTGATATCCCCTTTTCCCGGCCTCTCTGCCAATAGTATATAGATACCATTGATTCCGATGATAGTTCGAATCTGACCAGGAACCAAACTTGTCCAAGATCACTTTAACATTGTTTACTATAGCCGCTCGCTCATTTTTCAACATCATAACATTCGATGCTGATCTTAATACTGTGCGCATAAGTGTCGCCTTGAAGTTAATGTATGCGAATTAGCCAATCTCGACAACAGAAACCGTAATAATAGCTATTATAAGGCTTACAAACAATTGCGGCTTTTCTATGAATTCATCTGATTCCAATAGTGTTAATAATTCTGGTAATATTTGTGAATTTAAAATGCCATCTTCCGAAAGAATGAGAAGAAACTTCGCCAATAAGTTAGCACCTTCACCTAAAAAAAGTGACAAAAGTCATGATTCTAACCCAACCTTCAAGTTGCTAACTCAATTCATTCATACCATCAGTTCTTATAAGATTCAATAAATCTCTTTCTATGCTATCAACTATTCTGGCTCTAATTGAGCATACGGATAAAAGACATCGTAGATATTGTATAGCCTTCATTGGTAGTGCGACTTAGTATAATTTACACTTCATCACGAATATCAGTATTAATAACAATAATTTGGTACCTTTGTATGTTTATCATTTTCTTTAATATTATTATTATTCAGTAAATTCAATGTTAGTGTCAATATCTCCTTGGCCAAACGTAAATCCAAATCCTCAAAATAAGCATCTAATATATAATCAGATAAACATATATACAGTATTATTATAATATGTTAAAGTTTGCATGCATTCGTGAGTACTCTTTTGAGAATATAAACTGCCATGTTTAATGTACATACCCCATTCAGGAGAGATGGACTCACTAGGAATCGACTTTATTCGATCAACCTCAGTAACAACTACTACAAACAGCCTCAATACAGCAAGAGCCATTTCGTGCTCAGATTCAATGAGTAGTTTCTCACAATTGCCAAAGTGTTCTAATGCTTGTCTTCGCGTCTCGATATCAAAATCAGTTGACATAATGCGAGATAACAATGGCATTCGTTGAAAAAGAATTGTTAAAACGTGTAGGGCTTTAACCCTGATAGTTGATTCAGCCGCGGTACTGATAATATCCAGCAGTTTCTGTAGTCACCGTAATAAATAATTAATACAATTATTTGCCTAGTTGCCACTAATTCGTAATATTACTTACTAATGCATGTGTCGTATGAAATGTCACATCTTTACGAGCCAGCATTGTTAGATCGGTAAGCCCTCTTGATATAACTTTCTCTCTTGAATCACCGAGCACATACTCGAACAATAACTCGACCTGTTACAAATATGTTATTATTAGAAACCTGTTCAAAATTAGGAATTCATAATAAAGTTCCTAAAAAGTAAATATAAATAAATAAAGATATAATATATATCAACACCTGTGAAGCACCATTAATAAGCGCTTTGCTAGATAGGCACGTCAATGTTTGTAATATTGTCAAAACAAAGTCCTCTGATATGTAGTCATCCAGCAGATCGATACATATCGCACGCGTCTGGATAAGAGACAAATGTACCGATTATGGCTGATGAATTATTAAATACAAAGACACAAGTTTATCTGACCTTATGAGCAAGATCAAGATTCCAATGCATGTGTCTAAATACTCGAATGAGTTTCAATTTTATGGTGAGGGACACGTGATCCGCTGCACAAATAGATCATCCTCTGTCAGCAAAAGTACCACAAACTCGAACCAGCGTGAAAAGCCACTAACCTCTAACCATATTAGCCAGTTTCTCGCACAGTATCGTTGAGAACGTCTCTGATCTGGAGCAAATATTATCTGCTGCATATATAGCTGCATTCGCTTCGATTAACACATGCGAATCCAATCGCTGTATTATGCTATACGAGTTGTTGTATACTCTTTAGTAGATTCACTTAAGGAAGCAACAGCATAACTTGTCTTGCTCTTACCCATGTTGCACATTGAGACGCTCCGTCAATAAAGGAGAAAGGCAACCAAGCGTTCTAATAGAAAATGGCGCAATCTTTCTTAATCGACAAAACACGAAGATAATGTGAACGATTATCAATCGCTCACCTGAGTGTCAGAGAACGCGCAATGGGGTCATTGCTTTGATTTCCGAGTATAATGAATATCGTCATAACTATCTTGTCGACATTAATGTTCTTTACAAAATGCTTGTCGCTTTGTTTGAACACTTTGTAAATGAAATAACGGGTGACATTGTAATTAAATATTAGCTGTTCCCACTGATAGCCAGCTTTTTGTAAATCTTTGGTTTCAGTCTGCGAACTAGCAAACATTCTACGCTGGAATGATCTATCGTCCAGCTTTGCAAAAAACTCGGCAAGTCTGACAAAAGCGCTGCTAACAAATTCTGGGAAAGGCTGCTCGTCTAACAAGCGAGGAACCCTCAATATGGCACGAAGTTGGTCTTTAATGGCCCGCGATCTAAAAGCATTTTCGAGGTCTATTACTAATCTAGTATATTGTATCTGATCAGTTCCGATGGACCTTCGATCCATGAGACAACAAAGCAAGGTACTATTACAGCATGATGGATCTGGTGTGATTTTGATTGGACAACTGTTGAGGAACAAAAATATTATACAGTCCCGTGACTATTTCTATTATTATATTACTATTTTTGCAACATCAATTCGCGTGCCTTTACAGCACAGTAAACTAGGGGGCACCCATGTTAATGTGCGCCTAAATAAAGACCTCGAAAACTCAATTCGCGTGCCTTTCCTTTAACGCAACTTGCTGAATGATTACTGAAAGATCCTATGTTATACTGTCTGCCTTTGTGATAAGTTTAAAAATTCTCCTGGTAGCCGCGATAATTAAGTAATGACTATTAATAACAAAGACCTGAGAATAAATAATTGTTTCGATCATTGATATACATGTCGCGTTAACCCATGCTCTCGGTGATCCCGTTATTAATAGATTTGTCATTTTACTGATAATGTCACAAAATATTGATTCTAAAAATATTGTGAGAAGGCTATATTTCAAGACGACTCTTCTAGTTGTTTACTAACAACATTGCAACTATCTGATACGTGCCATCTAATTCAACCTCGACTCATATTTATGGAGTTTAGTTAAAGTTGGCGTAGCTTTGGCCATTGATATATATATCGGTAAATAAATGTCAAGAACGATCAGACTGTAATAATAAGCTGGAAAAAATATATATGCAAAAACAAACGATCGATTTCAAATGTGATTTGGTAGACGCTTGATTCTGACGCTGTATCGATAGCAACTTTAATTATAAGGGTTCAATGCTATCACGTAAAAATACTACGACCAAAGCCATCGAATATCGCTGTGATTTTAATAGTAACTTTGTCCCATGGAATCACTATTTATATCAACGGAATTAACGTCGCCGCTTGTTTACTCAGCAACGTTGCTTGACGGATATGAGATTTAGAGCACAGCCAAATCTCGGAACAGAATTAATTTGGTAAGGAAATAAATTCAACACTATACTCCCTACTTGATGTCATGTTACCATATTAATATGGGGGGTAAACAGTATTTAACTCCCTTCCATAAATCGCACTTTTGGAATTCAATTACATATTCTGAGGCTGCATTACAACTACAAAGGGAACAAAAATGAGTTTTGGGTCTGAACTCAAGGTATTGCGTGAGTTCTCTTCAGTCTTATAGCTTATACAAACCAAACGATCTATTTTGCATATGATAGACGTTGTCCTTCCTGCTGGAAAAACTACACATTATATGTAGCATTGGGTCGTGCTTTGTCCATAGAACAGCGCATAGATGTAATAACTAGTTTGTTTCGACACATTTTATTTTCAATTCTAGGATCAAATATCCATAGTGAATCAATTTGTACAGAATGGCATTCAATTCCTTGGCGAATTCCGCGATTTTATCAAAGAGAGGGCAGCAATAGAAAAAGAGTATGCTAGTAAACTCGAAGCCTTTGCAAAAAAACATACAGTAAAAAAAGACAGGAAAGTTATTGGTCTGTCTGTGGGTGATGCTACAGGTTCGCCAAGGGATCCAGAATATGATGCTTCTACAGAATCCAGGTTGGTAAATTATATATAACAAACTCGATTCTCGCTCAAGTGGACCTTTTTATGTATTAGCGTTCTTGGACTTTGACTAGCACATTCGTCAAGGCGTGGGCGGTAATATTACAAGAGACTGAGAACATAGCAAAAGATCGAGCGGAATTCTCAGAGAAACTTTCGACCATTATTTTCGATGAGATCAAATCACTCATTTTGAAACAAGAAGAGGCACGGAAAAAGGCAAGACAATTTATACGAGTTATAAACACTAACAAGATGCAATAGTAACTGAACGATGTCTAATCCTTTACTAATTATTCTCTGATCTAGCATTCTGCGTTTGCTGCTAAACTTGCATCTGATCGGGACAAGATTTATGCCGAGAAGCAAAAGGTTAGAACGGCGCTACAGCCTGTGCGTGCTTAGTATTGTAAATAGTGTTTTGACAATTTTTTCTTATAAAGGCAAAGGCCAATTACGATGAAAGATGTACGGAAGTTCTGCAAGCACAACAAAAACTCGATAAAGCGCAAGATGAGAAGACATTAGAGAAAGTACGTCTTATATATACTACGATGTTGAACTGAAACAAATAGCATTGATCGTGTTTCTTTGACGAGTAGTTACGGAAAGAGCACCAACATGATATAATCGAAAGGAATATCAGCAAGGTGAGTAAAAATGGTTTTCCTTGCTAGAGTTTCTTTCAGCTATCTTGTAACTGACATGTCCTTAAAACAACACAGAATTTTTATCTGTTGGCTTTACGTGTTGCCAATGCACAAAAGAAAAAACATTGTCTCACTGATCTACCGGCAATATTGGACGTGAGTTTTCTTTTATTGCACTAGTGTGTGCGGTATTCTGTTACCCAAAGAATTAACTATCTTGTACAATAATAGCATATGCAAGAGCTTAACGAGAGTAGAGTACGGGCGGTAAAGTATATCTGGGATGAATACGTAGATTTTGAAGTATCTGCATTGTCGAATTCGGAACAACATCTAGAAGTCATAAAACAAGCATTAGAAGAAGTCGACGAAGCCGCAGACTCGGAATTGTTTATCAAATTCAACAAAAGAGACTGGCAAGAACCGCCCGACTTTGACTTTGAATCATCTCATAATGCAGATGACAATGTATGTAGTAGATTTAACGAAAAGGCCAAGACTTGCGTGCAGTAGCTTTTAACATGACATTTATTTGAATAGGAAGATTTGCAAGTGGACGATATATCACATGTATATTTAAGCAATAAGCTCGTCAGGGCACGGAAACAACTGGCGTCTATCAATGCTACCATCGATATTAAAGAGAGAGACATCGAAGGCATGCAATCGCTACAAGAGGCATACTCGACCAACGCAAATCTCGGTGACGCAGATACTGTGATAGAAGTGAGAAAGTAAACGCGTTTATTTATCTTTACTATATCCGAGTAACTTACAAGACACTCAAATACGTGCATCTCGCTTGAAAACAGAACATGTTGGAATATATACGCGAGGTGACCGTTCTAAGGACAATGCAAACAAATTATGAAACGGAGATAAATGCAATCATCGAAGCGATTGGAGGTAAGGCAGATATACATTATGACCAAACGTTTCAATGATTGAGATTTGTAATAACCCCCCAAATAACTCCCCAAATAACCCCCCACTTTTTAATTCCTAGACGTTGGACCTGATCAAATACCGCACGAGTTCAAGACCGCAGCTTTCACAATACCCGCGAAATGTGACTTGTGTGCAATGAACGTCTGGGGGTTGAAGCAAGGACTTGCGTGTAAAAGTGGGTATACCGTGTGCTATGGTCTGAATTATCGGATGCATGTTGAGTGACCTTTGTATGGAACAACAGATTGTGGATACAATTGTCATGCAAAGTGCGAGATGAAGGTGCCCTTAAACTGCACAAAGGAAATGGGTAAGATAAATAGGGGGCCAATCGCAAGCATGAGCTTCGTGGGTACAACCTCGTCGTATGGGACAGTATCAGGTAATCTGTCAATAACTGCTTTAATCTGCTTTCATTAAGTGTGCACATTTCAAAGATGATTTTGTTACTGACATGGTCACATCTATTATGATAAGACGATGCTAGATCATCCAGTTCATCACCGAATACATCGTCTGCTCCAGCCGAAACTCATAGGGCAGTAGTTTTGTACAGTTATACACCGAGAAATGCAGACGAGTTGCACGTATCGAAAGGAGATATTGTAACAGTTATATATACACTTGGTTAGTAGTTTTTATTATTTGCTTTATACACGCTGTATAGACATATTCCTTATAAACTAACGTTCCCTCTTGATAGATGATTCTGGTTGGGTAATGGTAAGGTTTAGGTGATCCATCTGTATGTATCCATTCTGCTTTTTGTTAACATTCCATGCGGGAACAGGTTTCATCAAATGGGAACGAAGGCTTAGTACCAGCAAGCTATATAGACATGGACGTGGAGGATTCGGTTCCAGCATCTTATACAGTAGATGAGACTGAAACAACCATAACTGCAGTTGGTGACTTTGGTGAGTATATCCTCCCATTGGCATGCTTGGCATACTTGCGTGCAGTATTACTTCTCGTCTAACTATCAATGCTCGACGTATAATATAGTTCGAGCTATCTATGATTGGGTCGCTCAATCGGCAGATGAAATATCTTTCAATGAAAATGACATTATCGAAGTGACTAGTAGAGATGCGGGAGAGGGATGGTTTGAAGGTTGGGATTTTTATCAAATGTTTCAATGGTCACCTTTTGGCTCTGTCTACCCCAATTACTTATACGGCTTCTTTAGGAATAATAAGCGGAAAGCGTGGACACTTTCCAGCAAACTACGTTGAAGATTACAATACCTAATCCTGCATCGATTGTAATAATGTGGTGTCCCATATTAGTGGATTGAAATACGCATAACATATTATACACGCCATTATTAGAAAAGCAAAGCAGTCAATAATTTATCAGTTACAACAAATAAAGTCAATTGCGCATTTTGGAGCGTTGATAAAATTTTAATATAAAAAAGTGAACGTCTATATACAGGTTGTATAAGAACAAATAAATTTAGGCACCATTGAAATTATACAAAGCATGTGAAGCAGAAACTATGCAAGCGTAACAAATTATATATTATGCTATCAAACGAACTATGAGAACCTAGTGCGATGTCTAAGAAAAGAGCCATTTAAAAAAGAAGGGTTCTTAATGACATGATTAAGAAACACTCTACATGATCCAGGCCACAAGAACACGCTTCAACCGCATAACTTTGAACATTCGAAAGGAGCACCAGACAACCAACCGAGGTTAATAGGCAAACAAGACGGACACTCGAAGAAAAAGTAAACATAAAGGGGAGTGAATAAGAAGGCAAAGGAGAAGGGAAAATAAGAGATAATATTGTACTAAAATATTGCAAGACTAGGACGACAGCAAGAGCAAGAGAGTCATGATTATATAATATTATCATTATCGCACTACATCAGCTGAATGGGCTCGTAGGCTTTTTTTTTTTTCTTCTTTTTTGGGTGGAAGCGATCTTAGTAACGGTAACCCCCGCCGCCACCACCGTAACCACCACCACCATTACCGTTGCGTCCACCACCATAACCGCCGTTACCACCGCCGTTACGACCACGGCCGCGACCGCCACCGCCAAATCCGCCGCCGCCGCCGCCAAATCCGCCAGAGCGTGGAGCACCACCACCCTGATTCATTCGCTCAGAAGCACGGTCGACTGCAAAGGGAAGGGGGATAATTGATATTAACGTGAATATTGCTATTGCCATGCGCTATAACAATCTGAATGTCATACATATATCACAACAGGAGCATACCCTTAATTGTTCGACCATTAAAGTCTTGATCATTCATACCATTGATGGCATTTTCAGCCTCTTCATTACTAGATGAATAAAAGATAAAAGGTTAACAACCATAATCGTCATCTCGTAACTCATAACCGATAACCGATAACCGATAACCGATAACCGATAATAGCAAGCTTAATACTCACGTTGAGTAGGTAACAAATCCGAATCCTCGACTACGACCTTCATACGTCAAAGAACCGTACCATCAAATAACACACACCGAACGAACATATTAAATTGTAGGAGCAAAAGCGGTACATTTTTTGTTCAATAACAACACGCGCACATATCCTTCTCCCATATTATCTTATATAATACACGTCACATCACAATAGCAACATCATCCTGTTGATGAAACAATAGTCATCGCGCGCACACACAAACGAGACACAGAATATGGGTAAACGATGGAAGGGAAGGAGGAGGAAGTAATAAGAGAGTCTCAGCAACTGCGACGTTTCGCTTATGAGACTATTTCCTCGAAACACACACGTGTTGTTGGAATTCTCGCGAAATTTGTGTTGCTAAAACAGATAAGAAGAGACACAAGAGAGAAAGGACGACGACTTGCGTCTCGATGGAGCGAGCAGGAGATAGATATACAAGATATAACTGAAAGTTATTCTTGCTGTGATGATACGAGTATATTGATAGTTCCGTTCAACACGAAGCAGCCGTTACGAAAAAAAATTATCCCAGTATATATCCTAGTGTCATACCAGTCTCACGGTCGCGAATAACTACGGCATCTTCAACTTGACCGTATTCTTCAAATTTGCTACGGAGATCGCTATCATTTGTAGACCACGGTAGGCCACCAACAAACAATTTTACAGACATGCTAGTGCGAGTATTAGAATATGTGGTTCTTGTTGATGTCGTTTTTTTTGGTACTCGAGCGAACGGGAATAGAAAACCTGGAAAAAATTTTTTCTTTTGCGAGGAAGAAAATTTTTTTTGTTCAGAATGAAAAAATTTTCACTGGTTATATACGTATGGGAGGTGTACCCCTGTTTTGTATTTAAGCTGAAATTCTGACTCGATATTATCAGTAAAGTTTCCCGCATTTGTCATCAGAACGCCGAATAACAATTTTTGTCCCACCAGCAATTGTACTTCTAGGGTATTTAGTGGTTTACATTATGCGAGATGGTAAGTCTTGTGCGAGCATAAGCAGGTTGGCTTGGTCGAAATGGGTTTCTTTTGATGGTAATACACGTGGACATTATGCAAGGTGGCGATTCCTTGTATGACAACAATGAGTGAGCGAGTGGACAACAGGGGCTGGGGAGATTGGTATGGCATGTACTTGTCAGTTATTCCGATACAGCAACGACGACCACTTTGACCTTTTACTTGAACGGATTCCGTCTGTACCCTTTTTTTCCCGTGGGAAGGTAAATTTTTTGTCCAAGTTCAAACCTTCTTACAATGGGTATTTTTACTGCAATTAATTTATCCGTTTTCGACGCAGGGGAGGGGAACAAATAGCAGAAGACCGTGAGTACATATCCAAGGTTTTTTTTGGTTGGATAAACTTCTTCCTTGTGCTCCTCGAATTTTTGTTATCACAACAGCCATTCGTCACATGATCTTGGTGTATTGACTTTTTTGTGATTATTAATATTGTTGCTGTTTAAACTTGTTCCCTCTCTGAAACAACGATATGCGGGTGAAGCGGGACGATGGCTGAATAAAGAAATGAGGCGACAACAACTGTACGATGAAGAATTTGGCAATTTTGAAACGTCAAACAATAAATCCCAACAAAAACCTTTTACTCTACAATACCCAGAATTCCATGTATCATTGTTATATCATCATTGTTGTTTGCTATAATATAAATATTAATCATCTTCCCACTGGATGACGTCATCTTACTAAGCTTAACCTCGGCTTTACGCCCCTAAAATCAAAAATACTAATTGTCCCAGATCCACCATTGATCCGGGATTAAGTAATAATAATCATCATCACTCGCTATTTCAAGTGAGTTCATCTTCCAAGTCATTATCGGATGGCGTTTGTTATGCATCGTACAGATTGACATTAAATATTCGACGATCCCATTTTATCGCTTATTTGATTGTTCCAGGCCTTGTATTGTAATATATACACACCCAACTACTGTCGTTGGTTATGACAGAAAACCTGAATAGCGACAGATATAATGATAATAGTTCTCAGAGACGTATACCAAGACTACCTGAAGACTGTATATTAGAGATATTTCAGTACTTACCAGGTAATTGAAAAACAACCTGCGAGGATGAAACAATAGGATTATAGCATGCCCGCAAGACTGGGCTGAATGAGAGAGAAAGAGCCAAAACGAACAATATTTGAATTATAGACCGTGACTCTTTAATCGAGTTGAGCGTCGGCACCCGGTTCAAGTACCTGTATCGGCAGCATTGAACGCCAGCGTCGATGTCAATGTCGATGTCTATGTTGATATCGACATCTATTGTTACCAGTACTCGTCACTGTTATCACCATTATCACGTTATTGTCATTCGTCACTCCATTACCACCATTCTCATTGATTCTCATTTGAATTCTCACTTAAAGCAAAGTCCTTGGCACGATGCAGTTGCGTTTCAAAAGATTTCAACAGACTCGCGTCAGAGCCCACATTCTGGATGAGGTTATGCACACAGAGGTAAGAGAGCGTCAACATATACAGCACTTGTCCATCACGTCTTGAACACCATTTATTTCTCTGTTTATTCGACATTCTTCTTTTCAGATGGCGGCATTGGAAGAATAAGCCGCCTACAGAATACTTTGGGTGGAAAGATGTTTATAGCACTCGGCATCGTACGGATCGCAATGTGCTCGATCTTTTACAAAATTTACTGGAACAATCGAGTGGGCACTTACGTCTCATGGCTGAAATATCGACATTCGAATCGGATTGTATCGATATTTTGATGCTCATTGTCAAAAGTAATTTGGTAAAAATTGCAGTAATTTATAAGGGAATGCGGTGTTAATCATCACTTATTTTGACGATGCGTTATTAACACGTAATTAAATTTTCACCCCTCTTTTCATTCCACCTTTTTAAATGTTCTGCTAGTGGGACTATTCATTAAGGTTTTACGCGAAACGATGTTTACAGCTAGTGCGTAAGCGATACATACTCGGTCAATGGGATGCATTGAAGCAAGGGACAATCGACTTTCCTATTTGGAAAGGATTCGCGATGTTGGCCATGTTCCGTAGCCCATCTATAGAATTGGAAGACATCGACTTTAAATTCAATTCTCTTGCATCCGAGTTTATCCAGCAAATATCTCCTAATAATGAAACTCTCTCAGATGAAGATAAATGTAAAGCGTTAGTCGACTTTTTCTGCAGACAAAAGGACTTTCGCGGTAATGTCGAACGATACTACAATCCATCAAATAGTCTAATAGACAAAGTATTCGAAACGAGAAGAGGAATTCCCATTTCGTTGGCGATAATTTTTCACGAATTATGTATGAGAGTAAATGTAAATGGAGTATCACTCTTTCCAACACCACAACATTATCTGCTACACTTCACATCCCCAACTACCGACGCCGACTTTTTCATCGATCTATTTAACAACGGAAAAATAATGTCACGAACAGAAGTCTCACAAATGCTGAGCATGTCTTTTGGACTCTTATTTATTAACTTTGATCTCCGACCTCCGTATCCTCTAGAAGTGTACGCACGAGTACTACACAACATCATTAATGGTTTTCGTAGAACACAAAATGACCACGAAGTATTATACTCTGCATTATTTCAACTACTTGTGATACATCCGCACGAGCCTGTAGAGATTTATAATCTTTGGTTGGAATTGCTAAAGCATATGTGGCCAGAAGATGCAGTTGTTGCTGGAAGTCTGAATTTCGTAGGATTTCATAGGCCGGAACTGTTGAGAAATGATTTGCAGGAGATTAGAGAAGAGTATGACAAGGGCAGCGATAGGGTTATGAGGAGGAAACGTCATAATGTCGGCGAAGGTGAAGAGGATATAGGGGATAGAAAAGGAGGACCAGTGTTTGAGATTGGGATGGTGTTTTTCCACAAAAGGTTTCGATATACAGGTGTCATATATGGCTATGATGAAGGTATTTGATATGATTAACGTGTGTTTTATCGTTTTATAAAAACTCCTTTATGTTTTAAGCTTTTTGACCGATACGATTCCAGAATGCGTTGCAGAGGAAGACTGGATTCTACGAATGGTAAATTGCGCCTGTTGATATTTATTGCAATAGTTATTGTCCATCAATTTAGCCATCGCCTACTCCATCGCCTGCTCCCACTCCATACCCAACTCCCACTCCCACTCCCATTCACACTCGTAACTCCATCCACATATCTGCTCTTTTTTATCTCCCCCCTCCCCCCTCTTTTTTTTTTTTTTTTAGCATGTGGATGACCTTGAGAGAGGTCGTTATCAACCGTTTTACAACTGTTTATGCGATGATGGTTCTCCCCGATATGTGGCGGAGGAGAACATTCAAACAATGTTTGAGCCGAAACCAATTCCGCCCGAAGTATGGGAGGATATCGACCGTAAGCGGTTTGATTTGGATTGCGATCGAGATTTTTGGCGCGAACAAAATGAGGGTTTTCCGGAAGGAAATCAGCCGATGAATTTTGATGCCATTGGGAGGTTTTTTGTCAACTGGAGTAAAGAATTTGAAAGGTATTTGCCGAATAAGAGATTAAGGTAATGTTTTGGTCATTCATGGGTGGGTTGTGATAAATATCTGTGGAATTGTCGTTAATTTCATTGATATATCACTATTATTAGGCAAGAGTATCCAGATTACTGAGAACATGTAGCAAAAATTGATGGAATGGATAGGTAGAGACTATATTAGAATCGGGAATGTGACTAGTTCATGTCACATCAACCGAACAATATAGTTTCATGTACTATTTATTCTATATCTTTTTTTTTTAACTGCTTGCGAAAAGAACACACAAAAAAAGAGAAGCCTATAATGTAATCTTGTTGACTATTAACTTCCTGCAAAGACATTATTAGTAACTACAACTACGTTATGTACAAATGTTCGAAAACTGCCCTTGAGAATGTTTATTCGCCAAAGACAATTAAAAAATAACCTCTTCTATAAAAATATGGTCTGAAACTTTTAAGGTGCGATTGAAAGCCTTATGAATAAATTTAGACTTTGTAATGTAGCACGGGCAACAGTATATTCTGCAGAATTAGTTTAGTGGGGCTCTCTTCGATTTATAATCCTTAATGGCTGACTTGATGGCATCTTCGGCAAGCACTGTTATATGTAGAAATCATACTGTCAACATCATACCTTGTTAAAGTTGCATTGATAATATATCATATGGACTTACTTGAACAATGTAACTTGACTGGTGGCAAACACAATTCTTTAGCAATTTCAGTATTCTTTATCTTGCTTGCCTCGTCAATCGACATTCCCTTGACCCTTTCGGTCATATAGCTAGATGAAGCGATGGCGGAACCACACCCGAACGTCTTGAATTTGACGTCAATAATTTTTCCAGTTTCGTTGTCAACCTTTATCTGTAACTTCATTACATCACCACAAGCTGGCGCTCCTACAAGACCGGTGCCCACGTTTGGGTCATTTCGCGAAAGTGAACCCACGTTACGAGGGCGTTCATAGTGGTCGATTACCTGAAATTAAAATGGCAAGGTTGTATTTAGATTCTTGAATCGTAAATGGGCCAGTGCCTAACAAAACGCTTTGTTTTAACAACAGGTACCTTCTCATGATAGGACCTTGTAAGAGCAAACCTGGCTGGCTGCGTGAAAGATTGAGCAAACAAATCGGCCTTCTTTAAAACAGTTTGTCGTAGCATGTTGGTTGTGGAAAAGATAATTCAAGAGAATTTGCAGGACGCCTTTTGTATTTATAAGCAGCCATACCACTGACGAATAATATTACTGGTTACGACAATCTGATAACCTTACTCGATTTTTATCAGATATGTCACAAGATTTTCCATTTGATAACGATATTACCAATAATGGATTGATTACTTTATCGCCCACACAAAAAACCCATAACTTATGCGGGCGTATTTTTGTTAGTAGCAAAAAACCATATCTCGAAAAATTGATGGAAAGGGCTATTCTCGCAGTTAAAGAATTGGTTTGGAACAGATTTTACTTTTTTGTCTCACCCGATAGAAAATGAAAGTCCTCCGTACGGCTTGCGTAACATACTAATACTGTATGTTGAACTAATAGAATTTTGTGGGATGAACTGATAAATCGATCAGATTGCACACTTAATCTCAGTATCACATGTTAATGTACAATGCCATATTTGGGGTAGCCAGATTCTGTACCACAGCCAGATTCTGTGCCACAGCCCCTGAAAAGGTATTATAATTGGTATGAAAATCCATTTAGCATTAACGTTAACGTTCAAAGCATCAAAGCCCAAGCATCTATTAGGAAGAAAACTTGCGGATGGCTCTCTCGAAAACCAGAGCAATTATAACTTAGCGATAGCATCAAAAATTAACGTTATCATTATTTTGTTCTTTCTCAGAAAGCCCGTTCGATTCAAAAAGATAGATGGTATCATGATGTGTGTAACCAAGAAATATTTCGTATAATTCGGGTCGAAGAGTTTCAGTGAAAGTCAAAGGTTTATTCGCGAGGTCTAGCCTCAGGGAGTTTGTGGGAAATTACTCGCTAAAGTTGTTTGTGAGTCAATCTCTAAATAAGTCTCTGAGCTATTTCTTACAATCCGCGTCCTTGGGCATATTAAGCAAAAATGATCCCTTACTATTACTTTCAGAGTTAGGCATAGTTAGGCATCTAATTTCTCCGCCAAAAGTTACAGGTTTTAAGATGCGTAATTAATATTAACCTGGCAATCAACGATTTCATCATGAAAATTTACACCAACAGAGTTAGTCACTCTGCCAATTGTTTCTCCACCTCTACCAACCAGGCAATATGTTCAAGACTACACTAATATCAAGTGTGTGGTACGCTCCATATTAATATGAATGACGCGTTTGCGAGATTTGTTACAAATTAATATTCCATAGATTATGAAGATTTTGATCTAATTACAGTAACGTGCAAAAGTATCCTACCGGTTGTATCATCTAAACGTACATAATAATAACTCCTTAAATTTTCC